AATCACAGCAGCAAACAGCCTTGTTTTGAGAACAGAAAGACCAGGGCTGAACTCCTGTGGGATGAGGGTCTGAGGCACCTGGACTGGCAGGGTGCTGGCTGAGGCCAAGGGAAGTCTAGAATGGGCGTCTGAGCAGGGTTTCCCAGCGTTGCCTGCAGCCTCAAGGTCAGTTGTATCAGCTGTGTGTGTTCTGGGGTGGAGGATAGTTCATTTCATTAGTCTCCCCCTTGCAAGCTTCCCAAAGAAAAGAGGCTTAACGGTTGGTTCCTCCATGTGTTTCTAAAACAAAGCATCACTTTGTCTGAATGGGGATCGGTCCCATGGTGGAGCCCAGCTCTTAACCTCTCAGGGCTGAAGTGTGCATTGGCAGCCAATAGCATTCAGCTGAGTTTCCTCTGAGGGACCTGCTGCCTTGCCCAGAGTGGTGTCCTGTCCCAGGAGCAGCCTGCAGCCAAGACTAAGTGGGATTGGGTAGAGAAACCTGGTCCCTTGACCTCATCTGGGTTGTCACTATTCTTGGAAAGCTCCCAGGGGTGGTGGTGGTGCTGGGAGCTGGAATGTGACTGAACCACCATAGAAACACTCCCTCCACTCAGCCCTGCTCCCCACTCTCTCAGAACACACTGTGAGATTGTTTCCAGCAAGCTGGTGGCTTCTCTGGATCCTGGCTGGGGCCCGTGTGCCACCAGAAGCTTAAATACCTGCCGGGCTCTGTGCCCACGGTTACACATGCCAGGCGCTGCTGATTCTGTTCCCAGTTGCAGGTGAATTGGGTTCAGGAGTCCTTGGAAGAGAAGAGAGAAAGCTTGGCATAGGGGATGTGAGCAAATTCTGTTCAGTCTTTCATAGAGGGTATCTCTCCCTTCTACTCCCTTCTAAGTCCCCACTTCCAGATTCACCTGGCACCTAGGAGCCCACAGGTCCCAGTGAGTGATTCTGTGGTTGTCCTATCACTGGTGCCTGCCTTCTGGGCATGCTGGAGTTTGGAGGGACATCCCAGGGTGGTGTGTAGGGCTGAGGTCTGCCAGGCTATAGGAGAGACAGAAAGGCATTTTGTACCTGGGGTGAAGGCCACTGATTGCTCCAAGCAGGAGCTGTTTTGTGCAGCTCCTGGATTCCATGCTGCCACCTGAGGGTCCCACAGGGAAGCCTTCCAGAAGTGGAGCAGGTGTGCCAGTTTCCTCAGCCCCTGACTGACTTAGGGGCATCACTGTAGAACACTCTGCCAACCTCTTTGGTCCTAACAGGTTAAGCTAGTGGTGTTTTCCAAGAGAACATTTGCAGAGTAGATCTTGTTGGGTCACTGGTCAGATACTTTAAAATATGTGATTCCTGCCTGCCCTGCAGGGACTGGGAAACCGGGCCCACAGCAACACAGGGGGAGAGACCAGTTCTAGAGAGAAAACTGAGTCACCTGCCTCCCTACCAGTGCTTTGTGCCATAGCCAACATGCAGAGTGGTCCAAGGTGACATAAGTGTGAATGGGGCCCCTGCGAGCCACACAATGTAGTGGCCCTGCTGGACAGAGCATGACCCAGCAGGCCATTGGCCTCCAGATCAGTAGCCTCAGCCTGTGCAGAGTTTCATCAGCTGGGCACCATGACCATTGTCCATCCTTGGGGACATAGTCTCTGGGTGCAGACATAGCAGTCACGTGACTAATGGGTGTGCAGGTTGATTTTACACTGACGGAGAATCCCAATGATGCGGTCTTGTCCATTTAACTGGATGCTCTCCGGCTTAAAAGGTTAGGATATGAGGGAAGCAAGGTGGAGGGATGTGAAATTTCTGGGTCTAAGCAGTTAGCCTTTCACTTCTGCCTTGTGGGGTTCTAGATGCTTCCATGTCACGGCCCACGGCATTCTACCCCACCTCAGCCCATCCAGCTCCCTTTACCTCTTCTCCCCACCTGCCAATGCTCCAGTCCCACCCCTTTCCCCTCTTGCCCACCCATTGCACAGTGTGCCAGCTGCTTCTCCCTTCCCATCTGATCCAGCCCACGGCTGCTTGGCCACTGGTCCTAAGCCCCTCTGGTCAGGGCACTCTTCCCCACTGAATCAAAACTTGCAATGCCTGCAATTACCAGGGAGAGCAGGTGCTCCAGTTTGCCCGGGACGGTGTTCATGTATATCTATCATTTTAAACTAGTTACCAATAGTGCCACCTTTTGCTCTCAAAAGCATCCTAACTTGGCTGATAAGCAGCAGGATCATCTTACCTGCTGAATGCAGCAAAACCCCTCCACTCATAACAGTGAGACGTGGAAGTAAAAATCTAAGCCACACAAGCTGACTAAACAAAACTCTCCTTGGTCAAGGGGACCCCAGAGAAAACTTAATAAGTTAATAAAATCCCAGCCATGGCAGGATGGGCGGCCAGCCAGACCTCATTTTACCCACTTTCTTGTTAATTACCACTAGGTGTTCCTCCCTAAGTGTTAAACAGAACCAGCCCTTTGGAAAGACTTGTCCTACGGCTGATTTTGATCAATGCTCAATACTTTCTCCCTTTGGGCTTTCAGCATAATCCACTAGCGCTTCTTCCCCTAAAGAGGCCACCAACCGTGGGGTGGAACTGGCCTCCATATGGATTTCCTTTATTTTTTAATTTACTTTTTATTTCAAATTGATATGAGGGTACACATTTTTAGGTGACATTGTTCTCACTTTCAGGGTAAAGTTCCATTTGTAAAGAACCCCTCCCCCAGGGGCGTGTTATACACCCTCACAGCGGTGCACAGTAGGTGAGGTCCTGCCTCAGGCCCTCTCCGCTTCTGCCAGTTGTCCTCCCACCTCCTGCTTCCCTCTACCCCCGAACTAGACTATATTAGTGATTTGTTGTTCTTAGGAGCATGTAATTATACATTGATTTCATATTAGTACGGAGTACATTGGTTGTTTATTTTTCCATTCTTGTGATACTTTACTAAGAAGAATGTATTTCAACCCCATCCAGGTAAATGTAAAGGACGTAAAGTCTCCTTCTTTTTTAATGGCTGCACAGGGGATTTTCATGTCCCCTGCTTCACCTTTTGAGGCCAGAGAGCCAAAACTCCACCCTTGGATCGTGCTAAGGCTGGCATTTTTTGTGCAAGTGACTTAATGAAGGGGCACGAAGCTCCATTGCACATGTGTAGTTTTCTCTTTTCATAAACACTCGTGACTCCTCCTATAGTGTTGCCTTGGGCTTTCGCGAGAGACAGAGCGTCGTCACAGGTGTAGCTTCGGATCTGGAATTAATATGATGAAAGAGACAGACTACTTCTCTGGTGCAAGTAGCAAAGCTTTATTGTTCATGACCACCTTTTATCGTAGGCTGGTCACCGACACTTTATTAATTAACTACTTTTCTAAAGTTAGTTCAACCTTCAAAAAGACGCAAAGTTTGAAACCTTGAGACAGCTGCAAAAGGGAGTAAGTCCAGAGACTAGAGACTGCCAAGAGGGGAGTAAAGCTTTGGAGTTCTGCTATGCACTCATTGATTTACAGAAAGCAGGTGTATGGCTTCTGTCTCTGGCAACCTGGAGGCGACCCCTAGGCTGTGTCTCTGCAGAAAGGTTTTTAACCCTTTCTTTGCAGGCTTAGCGGCCACATGGCCAGAGTCACTGGAGATGGGTTTTTAAGCTCTAATCCCCAGGCCCTGTTCCATGCTGACCAGGGATACCGGGTCATCGACAGAGTTGCTTTCCACAGAAGTCTGTCCACCTGCTTCTGGAGCTTAGAGTGAGCACACAGTTTGTGGGGTTCTACCCCACACTATAGCTGGTTGAATATGTACGTTCAGCCCCCTTGCTTGGCATAAATTCCTGTTTCCCCTTCGTAGTCCCTCCGGGTGCTTGCTCTCTCCTTCTGGCTGGAGGCTACACTTCCCAAGATGGCCAGCCGGCAGGCTGCAACCCTTGATAAGAAGTCAAGCTCTCCCTTCCAAACTTAGGAACCTCATCCTTCCTGAGTTGACTGCAGCCTGGCCTCAAGCTTCTGTCCAAATTTTCTCACCATTTCACACACACGCCAACGCTAACTCCTTTAGATGGGCCTCCATCCAATTTCATAAACACACTGTCGTCATCTCTCCTTCCTGGCATTTGCTCAAATAGTAGTTCTTCTCTTCTGCCCAGACTGAAATACCTCTAGGAGAGCCCCACATCGTGCAGCCCCACCAAGATCTCATTTAAGTTTCATCTTTCCTATGAAGACTTCCTATAAACTTCTGGTCAAGGGTCATCTAGCCTTCCTCTGATTTTCTAAGGTCTGAAGAGTCTGCCTGGAGGACCCAGAAGTGAGGCTAGCCGGAGGGAGAGCAGCACAAGGCTGTTGAAATAGGTCACAGGCGAAGCGAGCAGCTCCTGCTGAATGAGTGGCTGAAGTGTCTGGAGTCTGTAAAGCTGCCGTGGGGAATGGGAACCAGAGGGCTAGAGTGGGTTTGTCAATTTCACACTGCATTTCAGGGAAGAGGACAAGCCAAGGCCAAGGTCACTTCTTAAGAACACAGTCCCTACCGCAGAACCATGCCTCCCTCACCCCCACATTCCCCTCCTGCCCCTCTGCTCAAGATCCATTCCCCACATGCAAAAAATGCAAATGGACTACAATAAAATACGCCTATATTGTATGTGTTCCTAAAACAACATTTATTTCCATTTAACATGATGAGCCACACTTTGGGTTTACAAGAGCGGTGTTTTCCTAAAAATACAAACTATTTCTACACAGATGGTTTTTTTTTAATCCCCCCCCCCACACACACACAGATGATTTTTGCCAGGACCCTTACAAAATTCCAGGAAGGTAGACAGGGGAGACACAACGCTCCCCACACTTGGCAGGAGATTGAATTGAGGCTCACAGCAGGCAAGGCACCTGTTCAAAGCTTTGCATTTTTAAAATGAACGCTAAGTTTTAAAACTCTAATAACTTAAGTGCAATATATTTTTCAAAGATTATTAAATAAAACTCATTCCTTTTTGGAATGATAATGAAATTATCTCAGAATGCATCTTAGAAAGGGAAAACAATGGCAGCATTTCACAGGCTCTAGGGAGGTTTCAAAAAGGTGAATATTTATGGCTTTGGAGATGTGGACTTTTGATCCAGGTACTTCATGGAATTCTGGACCCACTTCTCCTTGGGATCAGCACAGATCTCCTTGGCCAGTTTGGTCTTGAAGCTGTGGGAGGAAAGAGAAGCAATTAGAAGGAGGCTCTTTGAGGAGTCTGCCCATTGGGACCATTTGCCAGGGGGTGAAGGGGTTGCTGTGGTAGAGGAGGAAGGGGACAGAGGAGGGATGACCCATTAGAACCATCTTTGCTCTTGACTTGAAGGGACCTTATGTGACCTGCACAAGCTGTTAGGCAGGACTAGGAGCAAACGCTTAACTACTGTGAAAATTCATGAGTTGGAAATTATGGGGTCAAATGGACTGAGTCCACAGCTCCAAATAACTCCGACACCTTTCCTGACTCTGTGCCCTAGACATTCCCTTTTGGTCTGGGGCAGGGTGCAGCTTGGTCTACTCACATCACGGCTTTCTGGGGGCACTTGCTGCCGGTGACCCTCTTATAGCTCTCCAGTTTCTGAATGGGGATCCTCTTGCTGGCCACAGCAAAGCAGCAGGTGGTTGGGATAGCAGCTGTATGTTGGGGGGGGGGAAATGAACAGAGAGAATGAACCTCTAATGATGGGTAGATATTTCCAAGCAGGAGGTTGTAAAGAAAGTTAGGAGAAGGCCCGCAGCTGCAGAAGGTGGAGGTAGGATCCATCAGCTCTAAGTCCTATCCACCTGCCTGAGACTCATCATCCTCCCCTCTGCACTGGGAGCCTGTCACTGCTGATAAGCTATGGAAAAAGACTTGGTTGGTGGGATAAGCTGTAACCCCGTCATGGCAAGGAGCTCTGTGGCCATGTGATCATCATGGTACCCTTCATCAAATAGTCTCTGTTCTCTGCTCTCTGGACACAAGATGGACTTATATGTCTTAACCACTTTTGTTTGATTGGAACCACTAATTAATTATGACCAGTAAAGGAGGAGACGAGGTGACATGTGCAATTTCGGAGCCAGAGTGTGTCACCTCGGCAAGACCCTCAGGAGCTTTCTTTTGCTTTGTCACAGTGATGTTCCCAAGGGCACTCTGCCTTCAGTTTAGACTCCTGAGTCTGTATGATGCAGAGAAGCCTGAGCCCGCACCTTACCGAGGTTTAGTATGAGTGAGAAATGAATCTTTGTTAATTTAGTTCATTTTGCGAGGCCATTGAACTTTCGGGATTGTTCATTCCCACGACATGCAGCTAGCTTGTTGGTTCAGTCCCTGTAAGCCACTGAGGATGGGAGCTTGAGTATGGAACAACTGTTTTTTCCAAACAGGATCAAAATAAGTTGCGTGGAGAGATTTTCCTGTGACCTCAATTCCTCCTCTTAACATGCTCGCTCTGTCTCTGACAGCTGTCCTGGAATCTAGCAAACATTCTGGGCTTCTAATCAATAGATTTTCCCTTTCCTCCCTGCCAGACATGCCCCCATGCAAATAGAGCGAGTCTTTCTTGTGCGTGCCCCACCCTAGCTCATCCCTCTCCATTCTCATTTTCTGACATCAGGACGTAAGTACTGGCCATGGGGACTGGCCGTAGAGGCCTGGGCTTTTAGTTCCCAGTTGTCCAGCAACTGGATCAGAGGTGGGGGCACTTCTTGTCCACTCATAGAACCTGCTTTTGCACCTTTAAAATGCAGAGTTTGCAGCAAGTCTCTATAGATTCCTGCTGATCAGATAGCACTGGAGGTGTTTAGCCTTCCTTAGAAGGAGCTGGGGAGGAGGGGGCCTTACCTGGCTGAGCAAGACCCCAGGGGCTGAAGGCGACTGTCCAGAGCAGCAGGCCCAGGAGTGCTGCAGAAACCTTCATGATGCAAGGAGCAGGGGAGCCTCAGCTTCTCAGTGGGTTGCAGCCTCTCTGCTCCTCTGGCTGTTCTGCCTGCCTTTTATGAGGCCCAAGGAGGGTGGGACCTTCCAAGGAAGCCTTTGACTGGATAGGGTCGTGATAAAGAGGGGTCCAGATTACTGCTGAAATTCCAAATCTTGGGATGTAGCAAAACAAAACGAGAGGCGTACTTGCAGGCGGGACTTGGCACAATTTTCATCTGCCCGGGGATTTGGGGTGAGAAGGAGGGGACCATGTGATGATGAAATGCAAGTAAACATCTGTAGACTGTGGGGGAGAGGAGGGAGGCAAGAAAACCAAGGGCCTGGGAGATGAGTCAATCTAAGAATGTCTCCAGGTCCCTGTGTTCACCTGGTGGTCTTGAGGACTTCGAAGGCTAGGAAGGGATTCTAAAACCTCCTCTCCCACCCAGACGCTGAGAGAGCTCCCCAGCTATGACTAATGCTCAGGCTCTGGGAAGCAGGAGGGACAGTGCATCCACGATAGCTTCATTCCAGTGATTTAATCCAGGGGTAATAGAATTTTAGTGCTTTGGAACTCAGAGTTACGGCACATCAGAACAAGATGGTTTCTTTTCATTGTGACTGGCTGTGCATTTTAAAACTATCTGCTTAGCTACTAAAGCCCTTTTCCAAATGGTGTCAAAACAACCCCCTCTACATCAAATACAATTAAGTTCACAAACTCAAACTAAAAAAAGTGCTACATATATCATTGCCAAATATGACCTAAGTCACCTTCAGAGTTCTCTCTCTGGGAAGCTATGCCAGCACCTAGTCCACCCTTCAGAGCAATTTTGGTGCTCATTTTCAGGAATGGCCAAATGGCCATCACAGCTGTTGTTGTGTTACCCTTGATGTCTTGAATGTCATCAAAATGGCTTCCATATTTTCTTTAACTTTGGATAAAGAAAAAAGTCACTAGGGGCCAGATCAGGTGCATAGGGCGGGTGTTCAGTACAGTTATTTGTTTACTGGCTAAAAACTCCCTCACAGATAGTGATGTGTAAGCCTGTGCCTTGTTGTGATGCAAGAGCCACGAGTGGTTGGCGAAAAGTTCGGGTTGATTTCATCTAACCTTTTCATCACAACCTTTTCAGCACCTTCCAGATAGTGAATTTGGTTAACTGTCCTTTGGTACAAATTCATGATGAATAATTCGTCTGATATCAAAAAAATGTTAGCAACATCATTTTGACTTTTGATTTGGACTGACGGACCATTTTGGGTGATGGACAGAGAACTAGCTGACTTTCACTGTGCGCTTTGATACTTCATTTTAGGGTCATATTGGTACACCCATGTTTCATCATCAGGGGTAACATGGGGGCCCAAAACATTACCTCTCCAAAAGGTCTTGGCAAACTTGAACTTGGCTTTGGTTTTGTTCATTGGTGAGCTCTCCTGGGACCATTTTTACACACACCTTTCTCATGCCAAGATTTTTAGTTCAGATTTTCCCAGCTGTTTCTCTATTGATGTCTGCTAGGCTTCTCACAGTCAGCCGATGATTTTTGACACACAATCTGATGTAGTTTTGCAATGTTTTCATCTTCCGCCCTGACCTCTCATCATCAGTGACACTTTTCTCTTGGAAAAATGTTTAATCTATTTGTACACTGCTGTTTTCATGATTTTATCCCCATAAACTTGGACTAACATGTTCCTGATTTCACTTCCACTCTTGCCAAGTTTACCAAGAAATTTAGTTTGCTCCTTGCTAAACAAGCTTCAACATTCTCATGACGGTACACAAAACCATGCAACCATAATAATGAACTCCACTCGGCAAGACACCACAAAACGTCAACACCAACACAGCTGTGAGACACTGATATATCAAGGTTATGAACCCTTACCAAGCTGTTTGCACAGTGCTGCCAATGTAAGTGCATGGTGGCAAGTTCACAAACTTAATAGTCAGACCCTGTACACTGCAGTGGAGTAGATTTGTTTGAAGCAAACTAGGCAGTCCCTTGGGCCCTCATACCCCAAGGATTTAAGGAACATATTTGGAAAACCAGCCATCTAGCCTCACCCACTGAGCACACATTTCAAACAAGATATTTATCTGATGGTTAAAGATATCAAATACAGAGGGGACAACAGAACTGTAAGTAACCTTTTATGCTTCACTCAAGGCCCCCTCATTGGGCAGGGTGTGAGGGGAGGTAAAGTCTTTAATGGGGTCGCCTTGGTGGACTAATGCTGGCATAGGGACACTGCAAGGCTACTTCCTGGCTTTTCCTGGACATTCACATACGAATTGATTAGTACAGGTAGTATAAGTGAGTGTGTTAACAAGAACCCTGAAGACTTGCCTTGGGTCAGTCCAATGTAGTGTTGTGCTTGACTAGCAATGCCTGTCAAGGGCACAGGAGAGCGTGCCTTTGCTGGCCTATGAGGTCTCTAATTGCCCACCTTGAATAATTGGGTCTATAACTACCTAAAAAAGGGATCAAGTAAAGGCCAGAAAATCTGGGCCTTTTTTCTTCTTTCCTTTTTAACTCTAGATGAGATAGTTTAGTGTAGAGTCTGGATCCAGGAGGCCTGAGTCTAGATGATGGCTCTGTCACTGACTAGCTTTGATACCACAGACAACACAGGACAATTTACTTAATTGCTCTCTGCAAGGGTCAGGGGAGGATGATCATCTTGCTTACCTTAGAGGACTGTGGTCTGAATTAAATGAGTTCATATATATAAAATGGTTAAAGAGTAAACAGATGGCTGTAGGTGCTCAGAGAACAAAACTTCATATTTATTGTTATTAGGAAACGGGGCTGATTTTGTGGGCCAGGGGATGCTGGGAAGGAACTCTGGGGTCTGGACAGATGGCTTTCTTCATACATTCTTCCAAATTTTCTCCCCACTTCCAAGTAAAGACATGCCACCCTAGAAATGGTTTATGGAATGCTTGAGTTGCCCATGTGGGAGATGTAAGGCCTCAAAAATTATGTGAGTACAAGAAATTTGGAATGTTTTTGACCTCAGAGGTGTTTGGCTGACGTGCTTGAGAGATTAAATTTCTTTAATAGGAATCATTTCATAAGTCTGTGGGGAGTTGAAAGGGCCCTATCAGCAAGCAACTTTTCCATTTTTGTCTTTTTCTTCTTAGGTTCTGGATTTAATCTGAACTTGAGAAACCACAATGGGAATAAATAAATCTGCCTTTAGATATCCAAGTTCTGTGGCGGTTTCATCCAGCTGCCTGGCTTTCTCTAGTAAGGGGGTGGGGCTGGTGGTATGTGGGGGGTGGAGAGTAGTGTCAGGGTATTATTTTTTTTTAATTTCTTTCTTCCTTAGGGGCTTCTCTTTCATCAGTGACTTAGAGTCTATCTACTACTTACCTGTGATTTGGTCTCTGATGAATGAGGGACCAGGGTCAGAAATGACTCTGAGTTATAAGGAGGACATGGGTCTCTCTCTGTGGAACCAAACAGAAAACAGCCAAAGACCTCTGAGCTTAAGAACCTTCCCAGTTTCCTGGACTCACATAATTTTTGAGACCTCACATCTCTTGCCTGTGCGACTCAGGCATTCCTGTAATCTTCACTGCTTGAGTGTTTTACAAGGAATGATGAGTAAGCAAGAGAGAAGGATCCCACAGGGACTCTTGGCTTTGTTTTGCAGGTCTGCTTTGGACTTCCTCTACATTACAAAGTTATAGACAGACAGGAAAGAGACATTGACCTTGACTTTAGCCCAACCTACTTTCCTTAAAAAAAAAAAAATAAAAAAATAAAAGATTATCAGTGACAAAATCCCTAGGACAGCGTGCGTGTTGTAGGTTGAGCTGATTCTAGATCTCAATCTCTCGTGAAATGCATTGTAATTTGAAGGTGCTAAGGAAATGTTACCCCAAAATGTGACTACTTGATACAATGAATATTTTTTATTTTTTTATTTTTTTATTTTGAGATGGAGCCTCAAGCTATCCCCCTGGGTAGAGTGCCATGGCATCACGCTCACAGAAACCTCCAACTCCTGGGCTCAAGCGAGTCTCCTGCCTCAGCCTCCCAAGTAGCTGGGACTACAGGCGCCCGCCACAACGCCTGGCCATTTTTTGGTTGCCGCCATCATTGTTGTTTGGCGGGCTCGGGCTGGGGATTCGAACCCGCTACCTTAGGTGTATGTAGCTGGCGTCTTAGCTGCTTGAGCCACAGGCGCCGAGCCACAATGAATATTTTGAATGAAAGCTCTTTCACAATCAGAAAGCTTTGGAAGGGGCCTTGCCTCTATCTGCATAAAACCAGACTGACCTGATCAGGGGACCAAAACGGGGCACCTAACTCCCTTGCCTCCCCCTGAACGCTACCAGACCTGGCCCAGATCATTTAAAACACAACACCTGTCTCTCAGTCAACCCGTTTCCCCATCTATTCAGCCTCCCTAGCAACCACTTGCTACCCCCACATTCTCCCCCTCCCTTCAAAAAGGCATCAAAGAAGGTATCTGACCATCACTGAGATGTTGGGTAATCATTCGCGTGTTCCCCCTACGCACGTGGTATTTGAAAATAAACATTTCTCTTATTAATCTGCCTTAACTATGAGTAGATTCTTCTGCTAACTTTCTGGGGGGAAAGGGTAAGTGTCACTGTGATCCCAATAAACTCCAGGCCTCAGTGCAAACCGTAGGGTCGGTATCTTTCCTTCTTTAGGGTAACTGAAACCATGCGTCTCATTTCTTGTCACTTTTGGAGGAAAATTACCCCAAAGTATACGCTAGCATAGAAATTAATGTGTCTAGCAAATAGCAAGTTGTCATAAAAACAGTAATCTATGTGTTGGGGGCCGACCGCAGCCAAACACAAACTTGTTCCCCCTCCTTCTCCTCCTCTCCTTCTAAGGTGAAGATACAAGGGATCTGGCTAGGCCCCCTCTCAGAAGTTCCTGTAAAAAAAGACCCTACTCTGACAGGTAATCTGTGGAGTGTGCCCCCCTCCTTGGGTAGAGCGCTGTGCCATCACAGCTCACAGCCCCAGGTAGAAGTGGTCTC